ACCTATAGGACCGACACTGATCAGCCCATGGCCGTCCCGTATTGCAGACCAGTCACCCTGCAACGTTGAGTGAAGCTAGCCCCAAACGTCTGTCCTTCATCCCTGGACAGACAGAGACATTCTCTCTTATGATGGCGACCTTCCTTCAATGTGATTATAGAAAATGGTGACCTTGCTTCTATGTAATTATAGAAAATGGTGACCTTCCTTTTATGTGATTATAGAAAATGGTGACTTTCCCTCAATGTGATTATAGAAAATGGTGACCTTGCTTCTATGTAATTATAGAAAATGGTGACCTTCCTTCAATGTGATTATAGAAAATGGTGACCTTCTTTCAATGTGATTATAGAAAATGGTGACCTTCCTTCTATGTGATTATAGAAAATGGTGACCTTCCTTCTATGTGATTATAGAAAACAGTGACTTTTATACGATTATTAAAACTTATGACTTTCCCTACACATGACCATATTAAATTCCAAAAGTGTGGAAAAGCGATCATTTTCACAATATAAAATAGTGAAGATTCTGACAAATAAGAATTAGCTTTCAAGCGAAAGTGAAAATGGCGAAGTACTTACCTATGGAAGTTGATGAAATATGCGGGTGTTGGGTGACGTGAGTGCCCCCTTCATGCTGGGGTCGCCGCCCCCCCCCCTGTCTCCTGCTGGTGGACCCCCTCTTGTTAGTAGTGGAGGTACTGGGGAGTGGTACTGGAGGTACTGGTACTGGGGTGTTATACTAGCCTCTACTGCCATATAGTGCCCACATTTCATATATTATTTCCTCAAAATATATATACCATCGCGTTTTCTTTGCTCAGCAATTTTCACATCATTTTCTAGACACAAACTTTCAATTTGAACTTAATTTTGTTCAGTTTATTAAATTAACACTCAATTTTTACACCTTTTCATATTGGTTTTTACACCTGTAAAATGTGATTTGTCTCAAATTAGGAGCATTATTTTGTCATATAAGTTGTTTAAGATAGGAAAAGTCCCATTCAGGGAGTCAAGGCCGAAATACATGGCCATTTTCTTCATCAGCAGAGTTTTATCATAATTGTGTATGTGTAGTTACTATTTCTGCCTGCAGGATCGAGCACTTAGCTCTTGGGACCCCACCTTTCTAACCGTCGATTGTCTAATCACCTTTCTAACCGTCGATTGTCTAATCATCTTATGGACTGATTCCCGATTGTCTAATCATCTAAACGACTGATTCCCGATTGTCTAATCAACAAATGTACTGATTTCCAACCTAATTTTCTCTATCATGTGTACAGCATACACATCCCTGTCTCTCTCTCTCTCTCTCTCTCTCTCTCTCTCACACACACACACACACACACCAGCCAGACCTCTAGAACATTACATAGCATTTTGACATACAAATCCTCTAAGGCCAATAACATGTGCTGGTGAAGGCAGCCACATACATGGCGGGTGAAGGCAGCAACATACATGGCGGGTGAAGGCAGCAACATACATGGCAGGTGAAGGCAGCAACATACATGGCGGGTGAAGGCAGCAACATACATGGCGGGTGAAGGCAGCAACATACATGGCGGGTGAAGGCAGCAACATACATGGCGGGTGAAGGCAGCAACATATATGGCGGGTGAAGGCAGCAACATACATGGCGGGTGAAGGCAGCAACATACAAGGCGGGTGAAGGCAGCAACATAAACAACAGGTGAAGGCAGCCAGTCCCCCCTGGCCACCACTACCTCACCAACGCCCTCTTGTCACACTTGTCAGTTTAAACTAACCTAACTCACCGTAACAAATATTTAATGAATATATAATATGCACATACACATGATATGTATTTGTAATGTTATGTAAATATTATAATACCTCTTAATACGACACTTAAAACATTGGATTCAAGAGGAGATTGGAAATAATATCATGTTCAGCGGGAAACTTCATTTTCGGCGGGAAACATTTTCGGCGGGAAACTTTATTTTCGGCGGGAAACTTTATTTTCGGCGGAAAACTTTATTTTCGGCGGGAAACTTATTAAAGAAGTTAATGATATATCAAATTATTTTCAATACTGGGTTCCACTACACTGTGAGGGTCAAGAGGTGGGTAACATAGGATAATATTAAGGGGGTAGGGAAGCGCAACACAATCACTGTTACATGTGTGTATAGGTGTTGCGGGGAGCAGCAGCAGCAGCGTGGTGCTGGTGGCCAGTGGCGCTCCTGCAGCCTTACTGAATGGCTGCACCTTCACGCACCTCTCTCACCTCACACGCCTCCCCCTCTCTCTTTTACCTCATGCATCTCACACGCCTATCAAACCCGGGGAGGAGCTGATAGCCGAGTGGACAGCTGTCCGGACTCGTAATCTTAGGGCCCGTGTTCGATCCCGGGTGATGGCAGAAACAAAATGTGCAGTTTCTTTCACCCTGATGCCCCATGTTACCTAGCAGTAAATATGTATTTGGGAGTTACACAGCTGTTATGGGCTGCTTCCTGTATGGGGGGGGGGGAATTAGTAACAGTTGATTGATTGATTGACAGTTGAGAGACGGGCCGAAAGAGCAGAGCTCAACCGCCGCAAGTACAACTAGGTGAGCACACGCTACCTCTACAAGGCAGACATAAGTGGGTGTAGTGTCGACAAGGTAGACATAAGTGGGTGTAGAGTGTCGACAAGGTAGACATAAGTGGGTGTAGAGTGTCGACAAGGTAGACATAAGTGGGTGTCGACAAGGTAGACATAAGTGGGTGTCGACAAGGTAGACATAAGTGGGTGTCGACAAGGTAGACATAAGTGGGTGTCGACAAGGTAGACATAAGTGGGTGTCGACAAGGTAGACATAAGTGGGCGTAAAGTGCCGAGGTATAACTGATTCTTGCAGCAGGTGCCAGATGCGCGAGTTACTCCACCCATATAAACCCATTAACTGACTATAGACAATTTACCCATAACTGGACTAAGATTCACACATGCAACTGAAAATGGAACCATTACAACATACCGCACCACCAAATGCACCACCGGAAGTTTGATCAAAGAAAAAATAGAACTAGTTCTAGCCTAAGACAAGCACAATCATTTCTGAAACCTCCCCCCCCCACCACGCCGAAGGCAATACTTCTTCCTGGGATGAAAACTTACAACGTGTGTAATAACCCATTATTACAAGTTCCTCCGTGGAGCACCGCTGTAATTCAACACATTTATCATATACTGAAAAACGGTGTGGGATATTCATATTAGTGCGGCAGAGTAGTACAAGTGTACATTAGGGATAACCATTGTTCTCAGACAAGATATAAAGTGGGAGAAAGTCTTGCTTGACCTCACGACGGTCGCCTGCTATGTATGCTTCTAAAAGAAACTTGAGAGAGGCTTTTTGTACAAGGATACGGCCGCAGGCCAAGACGGTGGCCGCGTTCTGGGCCAGGCACGCGCACCGCTCCTTGCTTGATCAAGCTGCTGATACCTTTACCTGCTCCATTCACACATGTCGACACACACATATGCATACATACACATGTACTCACCTAGTTGTGCTTGTAGGGGGGTTGAGCTTTGGCTCTTTGGTCCCTACTCTCAACCTTCAATATATTGCTGTAGATCCACGAACTTCTCGGGTTCTTTCGTATCGACATTTGAAACTATGTATGGAGTCAACCTCCGCCACATCACTTCCTAGTGCCTCATTTGGGTACTCGGCTTCCACCTGTCCCCCCCTTGAGCGTGTACAAGGGGAATAATCCATCCTTGTCTACCCTGTCAATTTCCCGGAGAATTTTGTATGTGGTGATCATGTCTCCCCGAGCTCGTCTGTCTTCCAGAGACGTGAAGTGCAGTTCACTCAGCCTTTCCTCGCAACTCATGCCTCTTAGTTCTGGGACTAACCTAATGGCATACCTCTGAACTTCTTTCCAGCTTTGTCTTGTGCTTGAAAAGGTATGGGTTCCATGCTGTGGCCCGTATACTCCAGGATCGACTTTACATACGTGGTATACACGGTTCTGAAATATTCTTTACACGTTTATGAAGGCAATTTTGATGTTAGCCAGCCTCGCATATGCCGCCGATGTTGTTTTGATGTGGTCTTCAGGAGACAGGTTTGGCATATCAACTCCTAATCTTTTTCTCTGTCCGTTTCGTGAAGGACTTCATTTTCCATTTGGTAGCCAGTGTTGGGACTCCTATTTCCTCCACCTAGTTTCATCACCTTACATTTATTTGGGTTGAACTTTAGTAGCCATTTGTTAAGACTATTCCTTCAGATTGTAGCCTCACTATCTTCCTCATAATTTTTGCATGATCAGTAAACATTTAGAGGAATGAGTCTATTCCCTCTGGGAGATCATTTACATATACCAGAAACAGTATTGGCCCAAGGACCTATCCCTGTGGGACTTCACTGGTGATGCCTCGCCACTCCAAGACCTCACCCCTCAGTGACTCGCCGTCTTCTTTTGCTTAGGTACTTCCATATCCAATGGAGTACCTTCCCTTTCACACCTGCCTGCATTTCCAACCAACACTAGTCTCTTATGTGGTACTGTGTCAGAAGACTTTCGACAATCAAAAAAATATGCAGTCTGCCCAGCCCTCTCTCACATAGAATTGAAATAATCCTGTTGGACATGATTTGCCATCCCTGAACCTATGTATACATATACAGTATGCATAAACATACACATGTATACTTCTTAAAATAATTCATTGTCGGGGATTGGTGGCCTTTATACAGTAATAATAATTCATTGTGTTGGGGTATAGGCAGCCAGAGTGTATTCATACACGTCATGTCTTCCCTAACTCTTCTGTCTTCCAGTGTCCTGAGGTTAGGCCCAGTAATCTTTCCTCGTAGCTCATTCCTCTCGGCTCGGGAACTAGCCTGGTGACATACCATTGAACCTTGGAGTTCAGACCAAAAACTAAATTAATTTAAACTTATCTACATAAAATCAGGTTAAGGAACAGAGTGCAATTTTAGGTAATATAAAAATATACAAGATCAGACAGGATTTCTATTTTAGTTTTGGATTTTTCAAGATGTACAGTGTAAGAAATGATCAAACTCTCCAAGCTTGAAGTTACATTACATACCCAGTAAATAGAAGTGCGAGTCATGATTACTGACAGCTGTTGATGTAATGTAAAGTGTCACTAGTATATTTGGGTTAGGGATAGGCAATGCCCATTTCATCATTACAATTTTTCCCACTTTCCACTGGGTGGAAATGTATCAGAAAATGGAAAGAGGTTGTGTGTAAGAGAATCATTATTCTTAAATTCCTACCTCAATAGAACAGAAAAGTATAAAAATAATATTTTATGCAATTCAAGTAGAATACAAGCATTATCATCATTACCAAAACTTTACAATACAATGCCATTTATAAAATGTATCAAATTAAAACCTATATAACTTTATACAGCACCTTCAGCTTATAATTTACGTCCACTATAATAATCCACACCTTCTAACAAAATGAAGAAAACATGTACCAGCATTGTCAAGCTACTTCCAACATTCCTCTCAATTAACTTTGACCACATTTACACTTCAACACTTTCTCATACTAAACACTATCCATCGAGGATTACAAAATTGTAATATTTATCTACCTAGCTTCTCTATAATCTGATTTAGTATTTAACCTGCATCCTGACATCCTCAAATTAGTCTTAGTTATTTTTTAAAGCATTAGAAATCACTCGCTGTTTATATCCGATCCGAAAACACCATCTGATTCTGCACTAAATATTTGGGACACTGCTATTGGATCTTTCCCAAAGACAAGTTCACACAGGGCAAAAGTGGAAAATATCACTTAAACTTTTCATGTGCCAGCCTGTGTCAATTTAATGGTAAAATGGGCTTCAAAGGCAGTTAATGTTTAATGAATATGCTTAATTAAAATCTAAATCTAAGTGTCCTATTTTACAAGGAAGTACAGTACATCTTTCATACAAATAAAGTAACATGAATAACACAAAGTTTGAATTCATTTATTAGTCATCTGTTTTTAGACAATGGACTATTTATTTATAGAGAAAGAGAGAGAAACAAGAGAGACTAGATGAGAGAGACACTAGAGGAGACAGACTAGAGAGGAGATGAGAGAGGAGAGAGTGAGAGACTGTGTTTTGTCAAAAGTGATCAATCCATACACTAAAAATGTGATGCTAAGAAAATGTTTGCACTTTATACTGAAAAGCACATTTAAAAAAAATAAAATAACTTTTTACAGAGATTGCAGTTACATCATGAGTAGGCCTCATTTACAAACTTCCGACATTTTTTGCATACAGCATCTACAAGAGTTAAGCACCCGAAACACTGGCCAGAGGGCCCAAAAGGTTTTTGTCAATCAAATCAGCACAGTAGCTACACTCTGCTTTTAATGAGAAACCCAATACATCCGCCACATTAATATGTACAAGGCACATGGTAATGCTACCCATTATAAGGAATAACATGCTTTTAATGTCAGTGTATTGAGGATTATTCTTAATTGTAAATACTGTATAACAGTAAAATACTGACAGCAATTTTATGCATTTCACCGCCATGAAAAGCATTCAATGAAATTGTTTCAGGTATAATTAATCTTCAACATTTTATGTAACTCAGTAGAATATATCTCAATGAGGTTTACATAGCGTTTAAGGCATCTGTACAAGATGTTGGGGTAAATACATGAACAGCAGCATTTATGTTGGCTATAACCTGGGATAGCATACATGTCTTTATTGTTCAAAAAAGAAATATGATTGCAGCCTGTATATTCTAGGTATCTATTACCTTTATAATTACAGGCTTGAAATCTTGAAATAGGAGAAAAAGTGGCATAATTAGAATATTTTGTGCTGGCTGTACTGTGTTCCATTTTTAAGAGATGGCAAAACTGTGAATAATTTAAGATAAACAACAAAATCATCCCATAAATAAATACAGCAAGTTATGAATTTAATGAAATATACAATCATATATATAAACTATATCATGTCATTAATGTTTTACAAAACAATATTGCAGTTTCAAATCTGTTAAACATGTTCTGTACACTAAATCATACTACATATATTTTCCATGAACACACACCAGAGATAATTAAACATAACGTTCTAGCTTGGCCTGACAGGTCTTAAGGTGAGCAGATATGACACCCGCCGAAGGATCGGCTGAAGCACTCAAGTCGGTGAGGTACTCGGCAACATAGTCCAGACACAGTTCACGCTGAGCCCGCCTGTGGAAATAACCAGAATTATGAGGGAAAATCTACGAGATACTAATTCAATATATGCTTAATACTGGGCATGAGGAAGTATTAATTTATATCTACATATGCCTCTCAATCCTTTTACCCAAGATGGAAACCATACATGTGTGTGTGTGTGTGTGTGTGTGTGTGTGTGTGTGTGTGTGTGTGTGTGTGTGTGTGTGTGTGTGTGTGTGTGTGTGTGTGTGTGTGTGTGTGTGTATACCTCAGTGTGGTGAAAGTGTGTGTGAATATTGGGTTATCTTGAGATGATTTCGGGGCTTTAGTGTCCCCGCGGCCCGGTCCTCGACCAGGCCTCCACCCCCCAGGAAGCAGCCTGTGACAGCTGACTAACACCCAGGTACCTATTTTACTGCTAGGTAACAGGGGCATAGGGTGAAAGAAATGCTGCCCATTGTTTCTCGCTGGCGCCTGGGATCGAACCCAGGACCACAGGATCACAAGTCCTGCGTGCTGTCCGCTCGGCCGACCGGCTCCCTTACTACAACTACATGGAACTACATACAAAATGGCTCCACTCAGATGATCACTACGTATAAAATAGTGTGCAGGAATTTACAAAATTCCTGGCAAAATTGATTTCTGGTAGCCCCTTGAGGGGCTACCAGGAATGTGGTCTCCAGCAGATTGTAAACATAATAACCAACCACACGGCAGCAGCACGACCTTAGTTTAACCCAAACTAATACTGGCAATACTCCAGCCATGCTGACCAACTGAATAACCTATACCAACAGGAGTATCCCTTCACACCCAGACAATTCTACTGGAATAGTGAAAGAAGTTGGTATAGACCCAAAGGTACATTTCAGAGCCAAGCTGATTTTAGTTCCATTCAACTCTTCCAAAATATTAAGCTAAGTAGCAATTCAACATTAGTGGCCAATTTAACTGCATCCTTATTGAGTCCGAGAGTGAAAACAGTTTGGAGTGGGGCAAGACACCCAAATTTGGTTAGTGCACATTGTTTACGAGAAAGTCTTACCTTTGCTGAGGTGCTACGGAGGAGCTGGTGTCTATCATCATAGTAATGAGGTGTGCGAGGACTCCCAGTAAATGGTAAGGGGAACGCTGCACTTCCCACACACTCTCCCCACTACGATACAACCTGTAAAACAAACATAATATCCCCTATAGTGAAATAAATATATATAGATATGAAAAAAAGAAAACCCTCTCCCCTCTGACACACTCCTTTTGTTCTCCTTCCGATCTCTTCCCCCTCCCTACTTTCTTCCTCTCTCTCTCTCTACATCTACTATAGCCTCCCTTCTCCCCCCTCCCATCTCGTTTTTTTTATACTAGCTAGCGGTAGAGTTCATTAGGAATATCATTAAAGTTCACAGTGAAAGTGCAAATGAGCTGTTACCCTAAACCAACTAGTCTCTTTCATTACTATAATGTTTACTTTTAGATAGAATTCACACCATATTTGGCTTAGCAATTTACATGTTCACTTTGCTAATCCATCTTTCTGCAATGCTGCAATCAAATATTTGTGTGAACAATGAACATTGCTTCCTTTATTCTTGAATTCCTGGCACATTGTAATAATAAACTTGTCTTCCTACACAAACCTTCCTTTAAATACAAAACCTGCAGTCATGCAGACCAACAATCCCCTTACTACTTTAAGCACGTAGGCACCAAATGTAGCCTACACAATGTACTCAGCTATGAAGGCTGTATATGGCATAAGGTATAAGCAAGTGTATGAACCCTAGCGCACACCCCACAACAAATGAACAGAATGCCCCCAGCCGCAGGGTCTAGCAGAGGTGGCAACTCCTGCACTACCCAGGTCGAAGCTCTTCACTCAGCTGGCCCTGCCTCTCTGAGGCGAACCCCTCAACACACTGTTACGAACCTAGTAGTTACCTGGTTCTCACAGATAGTGTAAGTAGAATATATTCATCTCATCTCGGTTTATCAAGTATGATTTATATGATGGAAATTTACATATTATATATATATATATATATATTGGTATGGATGCTATATTGTACTTTTATGATAGTGTATGGCAGTACTAAATATTGTATTCCATTACATCGCATTTTGACGTATACTCTACCCAAGGCTTGTCGCCCTAGAAAATTGTAACGGCTCATGAAGTTGACATACTGTCCCGCTTTCAGTTTTTGGGTCCTCTGGTAGGTTAGGATAAGGGAACTTTAGTATGAAAATTTCTTGACGTTGGGAAACCTTAGGAAGATGGGCTGCACACAAAATACATAACATTTCAATGATGCACTTTCAATAAACTATTGAAAATATTTAACTTGGAAGCTATGAATACTTACTTATGATAAATATTGATAAGTTTGTTAACAGGTACCCCACAACCCTGGAGCGCAGTCACCACCCAGGATGTGTCGGCTCCAAGCTCAACCGACCGAATTTCACACTCCTTTATTATGTGTTCTGAAAATATGTAAATACAATGATACAAAGTGACATATACAATAATAAACTTATAAAAACATACTCTGAATTTCAGTCTCTTGATTTAATAAAGCAGTTTGGCTGCCCCAACTGCACAGTAACTATTTGTAGAACAGGAACAAATGTCAGACCTTTATAGGTTTACGTTGATATAAGCAGATTAGTTTTATAAACTGAAATCTGTCTTATATTGCCATTAAACAATTCTTATCCCAGAAACACTAATTGCCTGAGAGTTGGATCTCTCCTAAGGGTTAACTTAAAAACTCAAGTAATTTGCGAAATTCCAAATACTCGTTTGACAAATATATGTATGAAGATGCAACAATGATCACAAAAACACTGATCCAAGTATGCAGAATAACCACATGTGAAAAATAGAGAATGCTTAACGCGTTTTTGGCTAATTCGCCTTCATCAGAGCAAAGTAGAATGAAGAAGACTCTTCTTCATTCTACTTTGCTCTGATGAAGGCGAATTAGCCGAAAATATCATCAGCTGCTTGTAATGAGAGAAGAATGTGTATAATGATAAAGAATGCCTCAGCAAACATGTACACAAAGAAATTTATACATGAGCACAAAAGGAGGGCAGAAAATGAGAATGCAGTACTTGGTGAAAGGATAATGTGTAGGAAGAGAAAACACAACATATTACTGAGAGGAGTTGCATTGTATTAGATCCAGATCAGTATCCCACCCACCATCACCTGCCTGTACTTGCTCTCACTTGAAGTCTGTGGCAAGAGTTAACTGCACTTTACACTCTTTTTCCTCCTAATGTCCTGGGTTCTACAAAATATAAAAGTTAAATGACATAATACAGCTTAAAATGCCAGATATTGTTACACTACCACAAATAAATTAAATAAAGTGGTATTCCCGAGGTGAGGTGGGAATTTATTTGTGGTACAGAGTGGCGCTAGGTAGAGCTACCGGGAAAGAAGTGTTGAGTGTTCCAGAAAAGGTCCCAAATATCTAAGTACTAAGACCCTGCCCAAAGATGAGGTCACTTGCAAGAATGTCACCCATGTGAAGTATATTGATGGTATAGGCATGAAATCTTTGTGAGCACACAACACAGTGAGGGAAAGGGGAGGAGGGGGGAAGAAAAGACAGTATGATGGAGAAAGGTAGGGATTAATGAGGAAATGTGGTGATGGTGGTGTTTGATTGTGTACATCAAACTGAAGGCTACTGTACATGACCTTTGCAATCATGCCGTGAATAACCAACCTAGAGGAAAGTAGTTGGGGTTCGCAGAATACAGACGCGCCAGAGCTTTTATCTTACTGGACAAACAATCGACCCTTGTCTCCGTGGCGCCCCCTCGTGACCTCTCTAACTCACTGTCTAACAGCTTGCTCCAAATAGACTGAAAAGTAAATGAAGTAAATAAAATAATGTCTAAAAATGTATAAATAAATTAGGTTAAATCATAAATTAAATAATTATTTGTATATTTTACCAGATAGATAAGTAACAAGTAAACTTTATTGTTGATCAAAAATAAGATCGACAGGGCAATTTGTCCATAAATAAAAAATATGAGGTGAAGGTGGGACAAGGCCAGGCATGCACAGGCACAGAACAAAGCATTTCAGAATGTAGTCCTAGTGTTCGATTGGAGCTAATTTTTCCCCCCCCACTTCCTAATAGTGCTGATGGGTATTATAAGGAAGTGAAAAATCTGAGTCACCAAACGGCACCCGGAACCATCACATACAGTGACGGCGCGCTAAACAGGTGTGCATGAACCCCAGTGCATCCCAGCAACTATAGAACAGCCCCCAATTGTGGGTCCAAACAGAAGAATCCATGATTCTTCTGTTTGAACAGCCCAAGGTTAGGCTCCCTACCATTGTGGTCAGGCCTCTTGGGTAACCTCCTGAACACACCAGAGAAGGGAAGCCCTGGCTGTACAAGGGCAGCATTAGAGGGCACACAGGGAAATGCCAAATGAGCCAAGGCCACTCAAGACTCAAAATGCACATGTAAAGCCTACACTAAAAGAGGAAAAATACACAAAGCAAATGGACCTCACGGGACAACCAAGTCCAAGGATGGCTTGGCACTTTGGGGCTTGCCTGCAAGCTGGCGAGACTGGAAAAGCTACCAGAGGGTGTGAAGACACCTGCACCAGGAAGAGAACTGCCTAGGTAACCTGGCTAGGAACCTGAGCTGGACTGCCTGGTGGTGGTAATTGATACTAATGAGTTTCGAGCTCATTTGAGTGAATCCCTTATTCTGTGCGAGTCGTTTACCGAGTTGTTTGGAGATTTTGAGACTTCATTTACTATGAACCCTCAGTTGTCTGTAAAGCTACACTGATATTTTTGGGGGGAGAGACTTTCTGGTGGGGTGGTAGATTGTCATCAGCTCCCTGTGCCTACATAAGGCTCTGGCTCTAGTCCCTGGTAGACCAAACACAACTTCCACAACTGATGTGACCTTTCAGAAAATTATCTCGGGAAGTTTCAGGGAGCCACTGGAAGGGGAGGAAAGGAAGATCCCTCCCAAAAATGCTGGATGTTTAGATCAAAACTAAAGTGTTGATTAACCTGTTTCATAAATTAAAAAGCATACTAATCATCTATGTTATGTCCACACATATGCAACTCTTTGCTTCCTTTATGAATTCATATTGTAAAGGTGGTCATATGTAAAAATGTAAAAAATCTACTGTAAACAAATCAGGTAGTGATCATCTCTAAAGTTGCAGTACTAAAGCCTTTACCTTGGAAAAATGTCCAGATCACTCCCTCAGCAGTGACACCCTCTTTGATACTGTTTTCCCTACCACACATATCTATACTGTATATTTACATCAAGATTCCCTTATTTTACCAAGAGAAAAAACAAACTATATTCCAAATGGTGATGCATTAAAAAATATAACAAAGCCATGTTTCTGGCATTACCTGCACCAGCTGGGGTTCAGAGTGGCCAGCACAGTGTACGATGGCTAGCTTACACTCCCACAGTGAAAAAGGCTCGGCAAACTTCTCATAGAGGACAGTTAGTGTGAGAAGTGAAGAGTTGAGCTGGGCAACCACATCAGCACTTGCCCCCTCAGACTGTAGTGCATCCAGGACCTGTCAATACAGTAGGCTTATTACAAACACTTAAATATATTAAACAATTACAAACCTCATTTTATACAGCTATATTCAACCTGACCATTTGCTATGGACATGAGATTAGACACTTGGACAACTATGAAGTAATACTCCACAAACGTATATTTTATCTTACCTTGGTTTTTCAATAAAATTAATGTTTTTACAAAACTAAAACCTCATGTAATAATTTTTGTCTGGTTTCATGGGTAAAAATAGTAATATTAAATGTAATGGATTATCTTTTTCTGGAGACTACATCATCAAGTGGTAGGCTTGCCACATACAGTCGGCATTTAAAGTAACACATTTGGTCTAAAACTTGTAATGGTGCATACATCACATGGATATAAACATCATACACGTGACATGTTTCAAGAATGAATACAGCAACAACTTACCATAAGCTGTACTCTTGCCACCTCTTTCTTTTCTTCCAGATGCAGCATGAAGTCGGAGTAGTTGGAGGCTGTGTTCATTTCACACGAGCTGAGACACATAATGGCTCGAGAGAGATACTCCACGCGCACACTCACTTGCGTGTCTCTGATGGGATCACATTTATTATTTTGGAAATAAGAAGTTAGTCAATGAAGGAATGAAGCCTTACAAATATAAAATCAAACTGTATTGTAATCAAATTATATGCAGCACATATACCGATTCACGAAAGCAAATGGCACTGTATGGAATAAAACAAATGAATTAAAAATTTTTTTAATGTAATGAAATGACTTTCTAGTTGGACGTCAGTGGCTCCTGTAGCTATACACGAGTCAAATCTGCCTCAGCAGTTTTTAATAGACTAAAAGAGCCAGAATCTGGTCCACTCAAGAGCACTTCACTCCATCTATCACTCAAAATACTCCTCCTACTCCAACTTTTGTCCTATTTCAAGTACTTTCATGAGTAATCCTAACATTTGCAATTACTTTTACTTAACTCCTTGCTGCACTCTTATACTGTGCAGCAAGGCTTACTTTCAAAATGGCTTACTATCATAATTTTGTCAGTTCTCTTCCAAGCTTTAATACACTATTTTCTCCAGCAACAATACTTTCCTAAAATACTTAAGTTCCAAAAAAGTAGTAGAAGGGTGAATCATCTTCCTCTCTTCTACTTTGTCTACATAATGCTTTCAATGATAACGAAGACGAACCGTATACCTTACCCAATTTGTTCGGCTAACACAAGAAGAGTTTTGGCAGCCTTAAAGTAATCTCTATTCCTCTCATAGTATCGCCAAAGCAAGTGATTTAGTGGTGCTTGGCCATTGGTTCGTGTAAGGAATGTCTCTAGATAAGGTGACGTCAGAGCCAGGAGTTGATCCGTGCGATTAGTGTCTACCAACCACTGGTATAAAGTTACATGAGCCAACTCATCACTACTTGCTACAATCAGTGTCATCATCTGAAATAAATTAGAATAAAAATATATGAAAAGGTAGAAATGCTATTAGTGATGTAGTGCAGTCTCTTGGTAATAAGTTACTATATTTATAGTTACTTTAACTGAGGAGGTTGTTGAAGCTAATTTCATACACAAATTAAATAATATACAAAGAAAACATTAGTAGAGGGGGTAATTAGCATGCCAGATATAAAAGGGTAAGAGGCGGGGCTTATAGAGCCTAGCTCTCACTTCCCCGTAGTCACTGATAGGCAAGCACTATTAAGACACCTTCAGAAAGGGAACCTTTCATTGTCTCAAGCAAACCATCTAATATACCCCATCTGACACATTTACTAGTGATGTAGCAAGCCCAAGAATGGACACCTCTGATGAACTATTCAGTACAATAGCTTAACCAGGGTTTGACTATTTTGAAAATTGTTTTTCTTGCGTTACGGTATTCTTATATTAAATTATCTAAGAATCTTGCAGGCAAGAGCTAAACCCTTAGTCAAGTCAAGCCTGGCTTGGGAAGTAGAACTCCTAGAACCCCATCAAGCAGGTACCCACCTGGGTAGCATACTGCGTAGCATCAGTAGAGGGCAGTGTAGAGGGTGGTGGTGTGGGTGGCCCAGGCCGTGATGGGACACTGGGCGAGGCTGGTGGGGGAACTCCAGCTCCAACTAACTGGTTCAGCTGATCCATTATCACTCGATAACATTCCATTCTGAAAAAATTATATATTTAAATAATCTAAATGATAATGTAAATGTAAATGTCTGCTTCTGCTCCCTTCTTCACAGCTCAGGCCTCCGAATTCTGTTTGTATTACAAGGTTTAGGATAAACACCAGGCCCACCTTGGGGTGGGCTGGGGCGTGCACGCCGAGCCATGCAAAGTGTTAAATCTTTGCTCTTTTTCTCATTGCCACTATAGCTGCCTCTTTTTTATTACTATATTTTCAGGCATGTTTTGTTGCATTATCGTATCCAGAGTCGAGATCTGTGATGTTTGATTAAGAGTGTCCCCAGAACACTTAAAGGGTCATGACCTAGTAATAAGTGTTGGTGAAAACAGCAAAAAAAACAAAAACAAAACAAAAAAAGCTTAAAGGTATTTGACAGATGTAAATATTAAATAACTTATTATACAAAGGGTCTATAACAAAGAAAATTAATTCAAAATACAAATTTATGTTGGTGCTAAGAATTGTGGAATTCTGGATTTCAGAGCTTGAAAGCTTTAGCACACAAATTTCTTACATATATATTGAAATATTCTCTATGAACTCAACGTAACAAATTTACATACTGTACTGTCCAAGTCCATATCTGTCTGCTTAGATTTGGTGTATGTATTGCAGAATATGTCTTAGATTTACAAGATATCAAAATCAATAACCATAAAAGAAACTGAGACCAGAACTAACCTTGATGTGAATGCCATATACCCCTGATGATCATCAGCAGGTTCATTATTCTTGTAATAGTGGAGAGCTAAGCCCGGGGGATCTCTCTGTGCCGCCACACTCAGACACAGGTCCACCACACCTTCGTAAGCACCGCCACTCGCCAGCTGACTACTGATGCCGTTAACGTTCACGTGATGACCAATCTGTTTACACAGCTGTCGATGCAAATAAAAATATCATCAACACAGTAACACATCATCACATACATAAATCAGAGTGCAACTCCTACACACACAACAGTATTTCAATGCATTTGAAATTGTATTTCTCAATTTTTTTAATCTTGACCCATTTCCAATTTTTATTGGGAAAACAACTTAAACTATATTTGAGTAAAGACAGAAGATGGGATCCCAGTCTCCACCTCTCTCTTACAGGAACTTGTAGGACCTATTACTAATTGGTTAAACTAACAAATGTATGGTTGGCAATTCAAGTTTAATTTTGTTTTTTAATAGCAAAACAGTGAATACAAATTATGCTATAAAAAAATAATTTGCTATATATTTAATTAAATCTATGAACCTCAAGTGAAATATCATTCTCACTGGAATTAAACCATAAAGCATGTTGGAACAGAATACACCACAATTTTTAAATTTATTTGTCCGATTTACATATTTTCTAGTATTCGAAAAGCACAGACTCGCAAAATACACTGAAATAAAGGTAAAGAAATCTTCACATATACCATCAAACACTCACTGCCACTGCATCTTTGAAGCCTTTGTCCTTCTCGGCTTTATTGGTATTTGCTTTCGCAGCCAAGATGATCTCATTGGCTTTAGCTAATTTAGCATCTTCGATACGGTACAGTCCAGGACATATCTCCCGCAGTCGCTCAGATATAGCATCAGCTGACGCATTATCGCCGTGGTATCTGTTGGTAATTTTATAAACTTGTAGTACTCGTAGCAACAAAAATTATTACTGTACAGTATTTTAAAACAACTCAATTCTACTTATTACACCAGATATCTTAAAATCCTATAAAGTGTAGTCAGAGTTCACTTTGACGCAGCTATCACTGAACAGTGATAGCTGCGTCAACAATGATCGCTGCGTGATAGTGATAAATACCAACATAATGAAACTGCCAACAACAAGTTGTAGAAACAATACGTAATGATGAAATGACTTAAGTCATACAGCGGACTTAATACATAATGATGAAATGTGGAATGTGGTTGGTTTTTGTCTAGTTTAATACAGTAAGTGTGAAAGAATGCCTATTTTAAAGACTTTGAGCATAAATTAATTCTCAAACAATTTATCCTTAAATCTGAGAATAAAATTCCAAGACTATCATATCAGAAACTACAAAATGGAAATGAACAACTGTAAGGAGTTGTTCATAATATATGAGTTCTCCAATACTCATAATATTGAGTCTTGGAGAGACAAAGAACCAACTTGAAAATGTGTAGAATCTGCTTTATATGCAGCATAAATATAAACTTTAATTTATATAAAGTAGATATATCTTCACCTATTCATTACATTTTAGTGACAACTTTCATCAACCAACTTCATATTAATCCATTCATAATTTTCCCTACATAAAATATAACACTTTTGTTGTCAATAAATAATCTGTTGATAATATTATATGCAAATTGAAAAAAATGGAGACAGCAGGACATACAAAACAAGTAATTACCTGTCTAAAAGTGCCATGATGAGACAACGACAAACTTCACGTCCAGTCAACACTAAATCACGTAGGGTCATACCTCGGAGCTGCTCACGCACTTCCTAGAAAATTGTAGAATCCTGATAACGATCTCACATTACTTGACTACCGTCACACAAATACAAGCAACGTAATATTGACCAAACCACACACTAGAAAGTGAAGAGACGACGACGTTTCGGTCCTCCCTGGACCATTATCAAGTCGATTGAGCATACAAGTGATCGTATACAAGTTACAACATTTCCAACAATCGTGTTACTCCCTGCAGCCTGTGGACCCAGTAAGGTAAGTGCCTGTGCACAACATCTTGTATTTTTTATACTCTGCCCACCACTTCAAAAATATTAAAATATTTAAGATTTTGTTTTAAAAGTTATTTGTTAAAACTTATAACAGGTTGATTTTATTTCTTAGTCACACTCCACCTGATCTGCTCTAAAATTAAAAATCTTCAACAGAATTTAATGTCAAGCAATAAATTAGTTGGTGACAGAAGGAAACATGTACGAAATATACCCATATATTTTTAAACTTAAAAAGCTGTCCTCAAAATTCACAATTAGCATATTACAGTACTTTGATTTGAACAAAAATCAAAGTTTAGCTAATTCTGTCACAAAAGGAACAATAAACAATTTAAACCACCACTTAATGGAACTGGATCACTGACAATCTCATGAAGGCACTTCCTGTCGCACTTTTAAGGGTTAAGGACTAATAATTTTACAACATGAATATAAATATTTCATCCATTTATGCGTCTCATGGAAAGAATCAACACAGTGTAACACTAAGCACACATTATACCTCAAAATTCTTAAAACACAATATTGGTCTTTATCACCTGGCTAACACACACACAATTTTACTCAAAACTCTACTGTAGTTATATAATGTAAGGAAAAATGAACATCATTAGCCACTTATATGAGGTACAGTCCTCCAAGACAACAAAGTCTCTCTAATATTGTGGAGAGTATATTGCTGGAAAAAATTAAGAGCAAGAGTGGTTCTTCCATTTCCTTGGCATAAATTAATAACCTAATACTGTATATAAATGCAACTGTTCCCTGCGCCTCTGTGAGGGGACCAGGTTCTGGCGCTGTGTCCCCGGTAGGCCAGATTGATGGCCAAGTAGATGGCACCTACACTGGTGATGATAGCATCAGGAAGCCACAAGGTGCTTCCCCCCAAAAATTCCAAAAAGCCCAACAAAATAGTCAACGAATGATTTAGCTTACTTTCTGTATGGTTGAAGTAATAGTAGTAAAATTGTGGGTAGTGAGGACTGTCATAAGACGGAGGACCTCCAGGGCTTGGTCCAACAGTGATCTCAGAGCCAATAATGATGCCCGCTCGGACCCATCTCCGATGTACCGTCCTATATTTACATTGCTGCTGGACCTAGAGAGAAAAAGTACGAAAATTATGAACTTTTCTTCTACTTAACAAGGAGAAGGTTAAATGCTCAAACCAAAGTAAATCCCAAATACCTTCATCAAAGTTAATACTAGTTGTTGAAAATTGCTCAGACAAAGGCTTAAGTACTTAGCAGATAAGATGATATGGAGACTCACATATTTATTGGCTGGAATGAGGCAGAGCCGCCTTGGTTGGTGATGAGGAACTTGGCTAACAGCTCCACTTGACTGGCAAGAAAACCAACCTCCTCAGCAGTCATAGTACTCACCAACTATAAAATAATTATATAAATACAGTACAGTAGAAACGATAAAATGATACAAATTTCTAAAAAATATATTCAATATTTGAAAGAAATATTAATAATATTGAAAACAACCAGCACTGGATACTGGCTTTAGCATCAAAGATACAGTATCTATAAACCTGTGTATGTGATACATCATAGATACCTGCACACACACACACACACAAAGGATATTACCAGCTTGACTAAAAATGTAATGATACAAGAGGTACAAATCATGGAACTAGTCAAAGAAAATGAGACATGGAAAATGAAGAGGGGTGAATTTGAAGACATTTACAGGAAAATAGACCTATATGGTGAACAACTCAGAGGAACCAAAGGTCCAAACAGGAAGTTAGGAAATGGATATGCTAAGAGAAATTTCATTACACAGAGAGCAATCACACTAATGTGATGTATCAATAAGAAAATCCATAGGATCCTGGGAACGCAACATTACTTGCCGCAACATTAAGCAGGCCACAAGAATGAGGGAAGGGGATGTCCCACCAATTCAGTACTGGATTTAATATTCACCAGGAAAGGAGAGTATATATGACATTCAGCACCTCCCACTAAACTATTTGGGAAGATAAGACACTTAGACAATTGTCATTCCCTTCAAGATGACACAGACAAAAGTGTATGGAGCAACACTTCGCAAATGAATTTGAATGTGAATAAATGCCATGTTATGGAATGTGGAATAGGAGAAAATAGCCCAACACAACCTACAAATTATGTGGAAAGACACTGAAGAACTTTGACAAAGAAAGATCTATGGGTGGTTCTGGATAATAGACTGTAATCAGACAAACACATAACGGACATTGCGAGAGGAGCACATGCTACACTTTCCAGCTTCAGAATCAATTTGAAATACTAGGTTGGTGAAATATGAAAAACTGTTTACAACAGCAAAGGCATGTTACAAAATGGCTTCCAGAACTGAAAAATAAGAGCTACATAGAGAGGCTAGATGTGTTAAATATGCCATAACTAGAAGATAGAAGACAAAAGAGGAGATATGATCACTACATACAAAATAGTCGCAAGTCAACAAAATTGAAAGAACTCTGCAAATCTGCATCTTCAAGAACAAGAGGACATTGATTCAAGGTAAGGAAACAAAGATGCCAACAAAATATTAGAAAGTCTCTTTTTTTGCAGTCGTAGATGGATGAAACAAGTTAAGTCTGGATGCCAAAACCATTATTACAGTACATACTGGGAAGCCGAAATACCATGAGCATAGCTCTCATCATGTAACTCCACTTACTTAAACACACACACACACAGACTTACCACAGACTTTCCGTCAACTACAGTTTCTTTAGCTAGTGGAGTAGACCAGACTGGTCTTAAAATTCTTGCCAGGTACAGATATAGAGCATTATGCAGTGGTGAAAACTGTGCATCTTGGCCTATAGTTGTATTCACAGTCTGGCCATGGAGAGGCGTTGACATTTGTGTTGGATTGAATTCTGCACAAGAAAAAATTATCGAGTTAGATTAAGGTAAGATTTGATCCAGATTTAAATTTTTGTAATCCAAATGCTTTGTTCATGTACATTTTATTTTCGATACAGAAATTCATGTTTTCTTGTGAGAATTGAATTTGTATTGTTTAATCTAAACAACATAATCTAGCATAAACTAATCTAATAGAACTGAATTATAGCCGCTAATACCTTTTACTGCCCTATTTGCCCCTAAGACGTTTACAGTATTTGTTTTAATTTCCATGAAAAAATATCAATATTTAAGTACTTAAAGGCACCAGGCAGCCAGAAATCCCAAACATTTCAACATACTTACAACATCTAAGTGGTAAAAAATAACGTATCTATGCACTTACGATAGTTTGACGGCGTGTGTGGAGGAAAATTAGCAGGTGTTGCTGGAGGCAAGTTAGCACCATACAGGAATAATGCTCGAGTGGCCCACTCTGCAACCTGTCAATGATAATGTATTAATACAAACTATGACTGTACTCTGCCATTTTGCTGCCTCTGGGAATGTTCTCTTGCTAAATTGATATCAACTACATCACCTAATGTAATCATGCTGAACCATCCTCAAATATTTCATTCACCTACAAGCATCCCAAATTTTTGAAGCACTTAAAATTTTTACTTTCTAATTGTGATTTCATTCAATGCTTACAAACAAATATGTAAAACAGCAGCAGCACATCACATTTTCCTGCAAACTCAAAATTCTCTTAAATTCTGTATGAATTGTTTAACAAATTCTAGCTTAACACTTTCGCGCTTTCGATTAGAGATAACTCGTCACTGGTTTTTCTTACGATTCCGCATAACTGCCTACTTTTCTCGTCAATCGAAAAAATATTTCTATAAATTCCATTTTTTAACCGAAATGGATGGGGATACTTTTGTTTTGTAGAGAATTTATTTGCGAATTTTCTGGTACCAGAATGAATATTATATCTCATAAACTTCTATGAGTAAAAAAAAAAATACACAAAGTATATTTGGGGGTGTGGCGAGCGTGTGGCAGTGGGTTCCCTTTAGCCGTTGATATATCCAACACGTGGGAAATATTTGTATGTTTTATGTATATGTCTGTGTAGGGAATTTTACTGCGATCACTGTCATACAAATTATAAAATGTTTCAACAAGTATAAACATGACAAACATCAAACGAACGAAAACAATGCGTTCGTTTCTGCCGCGAACGCATACTGAGCGACGTGGTTCTATATTTGGCGCTTCTCTTACACATGCTTTGTACAAATGTTATACAGTTCATCTTATAGAAAATTTTATTGCGAACACATTGGTATAAAAAAGAAATACGTACATAGAAAAGTAGGGTCAGGAAACGTATAAATGTATAAACTTTCCAAGCATGATTGTGTTTTCGCCAGTGCGCTCGCGGCTAACTACTCTCCACTTCACACACTCTTGCGGGTGGGCAATTACCTATATTAAACATTCATATGCATATGTCCGTGTAGAGAATTTTATTGCGATTCCAATGATACCAAAATTAGCGATGTAGGACAACTGTAGGCTTCGCAACCATTAAGAGAGTGGAAACATTTTGTTGCTGTTTGGCGCTCTCGGCGAGTGATCTGCATAGTTTTTTATTTGGTGTTGATACTCCTTATGCTTGGGCGGCATTTTATAGGTATGCTCTTATAGACAATTTCATTGCGAACACAGTGATACCAAATTTAAATACGTGCGCCTTCAATTATTGTCAGGACAGTCAAAAGAGTGTACACTTTTTCGGTCTTACCGCGTAGGCGCGCGAAGTGCCGAAAGCATCTGGGGTATTTTTTTTTTTGAGCGCCGAGAGCGCGAAAGTGTTAAGAAGATATTTGGCTGACAGCAGAACCAAACGCCTGGGTGCGTGTTGATGCTGCGTGACCAAAAGTGGTGGTCTGGTGCCCTGTACATAACATTAATTAAATAACTGAACATTTTTGCTTATATATGTTATGCATGAATTGTCATCATCCCATTTCCCCGTTTTACGTGCTGGGAAGGAATCGGCCCAAATAAAGTATGAATAAAATTGCAAAATGTTACAAAACTTACATAAAATGAAAATATAACTTCTATTCCTCATATCATTCACAATACAGAGCACTCCATATAAACAAGCACCATAACACTTCAAAGCAGCGACTACCCTCTTCATAAGAGAAATTCTAGCAGGGCTCCTTGTGAATTGTCTTGTACAGTAGAGTACAACCGTCAGAGACAGAGAAAAACAAAAAATAATAATAATAATAATTTCCAAATTCAAACCCTCTTGCTGCGTGTCTCGTCCCTTACCAAACCATGCTGTTTGCACACTCCCAAAACAGTTCATGACAATAGTACATTTGTTCACCTTCTTACCAGTCTTCCTCTCCACCTCCTACCATCAAATTCACTTAAAAAAAAAAAAAACTTCTCCAAATTGGTTATGAACACAATAGTTATCAAAATTGACAACTGGTTCAATAATAGTCTACAAGCACTGTTCTGAGAGCACTATAACCTTCAATATATGTTGACATAATTACCACCTAACCATACAAGTGCAGCCTAGGTAAGGCAAGGCAATTATGAGGAGAAAGCACTATGACTGGGAAAATACACAGTATAACAACTCCCAAAGATTAACGGTTAATGGAAACTGCACAATTATATACCTGAGGCGTTGGTGGGTTTAGTGCAGAGCACCACAATTCTGGAGTAACATCAGCAAGTGCCCACACATACCCATCCACAGCATGCGTGCTCTGAGATTCTGCTAGGGTTGGGTGGTAAGGGTACTGATCACTACTCATTGTCCAAACTGTATCTGCTTCAATGCTCTCATTGGAACACAGAACACCAGTACCTGAAAAAATGATAAAGGAATACTTTCCTCTCTCTTCACATCCAGCAAAAACCTGCTTCTCTCTCTTCTCCAGTTTCACAATATATTTCCATTAACCAAACACCAATGGTCACACAACAGTATTTCAATTTTGAAAACAAAACCAACTCAAGAGCATTAACCAACCATGTGAATAAAGGGCTTTGTGAACTTTTGTAGGTCTGTAAACTGTGGCATTAGCGGCAAACCCCGGAGGTAGACGAACATGGAGCAACGTCAGCTGTACTGGACGCTGGTTTGGTCCACCAGTCAATGGTATTGTTGTATAATACAATCTCACTCCCGTACCTAGTAATAAAATTAATTACACACATGATATGCATGCAAACAGAAAATTATTCATATTAGAGTAGAGTTACAATTTGCATATTCATTATGATTTTTGTTTCATAAAATTCAAAATGTATACTCATCACTCTGGCAAAGAATGTTAACCAGACCACACACTAGAAGGTGAAAGGACAACGAAGTTTTGGTCCGTCCTGGACCAGGACAGACCAAAATGTCGTCGTCCCTTCACCTTCAAGTGTGTGGTCTGGTCAACATACTTCAGCCATGTTATTGTGACTCATTGCCTACAAAGAATGCTAGTTATTTTACAATTAATTTGTATTTTTTCATTATTAAGGGCTAGAGGTACAAGATATTTACCTGTTACAACCACAAGGTGGATGTGAGTCGACTCACTGGTACTTATTGGACACAAGCTCACTACGCCCCTGAAATTGGCTTTGTCTACCGTCCTGCGAAATGTATTAAGGGAAGAGTTATACGACTTATCCCCTTGGTTGCGGCACTTTCATTCCAACCCATTGCAGAACATCATGAAAATCCAAACCTCTATATAACATCAAAAATGCCCACCAGATTTTCCTTCCAAAATGTTAATTTTTTTCTATGCAAAAATAGATTTTGGAGGATATTGCAATGTAATCTGGATCACTGGATCTGTAAAATATATTTCCAAGGAAGTAATTTCCATAAAATCATTACACTGTAGTAAATTATAGTAAAATTTGAGGATCATCAACAGGTACATTGTAGCATAATTTGAGGATTATTTCTAGGTATAATGTAGTAATATATGTGTTCAATATTGACAACCATGATGTATGCCAATAGCAGTGATTACAACGGTGAAGTTAAATAGCCGAGGCACACATACATTGGAGGAATGTCAAGACAAGACACAGGGCGAGTTTAAGGCACTAGGTAGGAAACTATGAGGATGATATTAAGTTCTTTTGGGTTTTATTTTTTAATAAGGTGTAGGTTGGACAGCTTTTCAATTCCTTAGGGAGTGAGTTCCAAAGATTAGGTCCCTTTATTTGCATAGAGTATTTACACAGACTTAGTTTCACTCTGGGGATATCAGATATTTATTTCTGGTGTGGTGCTTATGGGTTCGATTACGTCTGTCAAGGCAGAGTTTCAGATCAGGATTTGTATTTAAGAATGTAAATGGCACAAGAGAATGTGTGAAATCAGTTTATGTTTAGTATGTTTAAGATTTAAACAGGTTGGGGGCTGAGTGTTGCCTGAAAACAGAGTTTGTTATTGCATCCATGACCAATTTATCCACAATACTAACCATACTTAACCTATTTTTAAATACTAATTACAACCATTAGGAGCAACAAAATTCAATGAATTCCATTATGAATATATATATTATATATATATATATATATATATATATATATATATATATATATATATATATATATATATATATATATATATATATATATATATATATATATATATATATATATATATATATATATATATATATATATATATATATAAATATATATATATATATATATATAATATATATATATATATATATATAAATGCGAACAAGCCTGAATGGTCCCCAGGACATATGCAACTGAAAACTCACACCCCAGAAGTGACTCGAACCCATACTCCCAGAAGCAACGCATCTGGTATGTACAAGACGCCTTAATCCACTTGACCATCACGACCGGACAAAATGAGGTGATAGCCGAGGCTATTTGAACCACCCCACCGCCGGCACTCGGATAGTTATCTTGGGCATAGCATTTTACCAAATCACCTCATTCTTTGGGGCAACACGTGAGGAACACAAATGCGAACAAGCCTGAATGGTCCCCAGGACATATGCAACTGAAAACTCACACCCCAGAAGTGACTCGAACCCATACTCCCAGAAGCAACGCATCTGGTATGTACAAGACGCCTTAATCCACTTGACCATCACGACCGGACAAAATGAGGTGATAGCCGAGGCTATTTGAACCACCCCACCGCCGGCACTCGGATAGTTATCTTGGGCATAGCATTTTACCAAATCACCTCATTCTTTGGGGCAACACGTGAGGAACACAAATGCGAACAAGCCTGAATGGTCCCCAGGACATATGCAACTGAAAACTCACACCCCAGAAGTGACTCGAACCCATACTGTTCCTCACGTGTTGCCCCAAAGAATGAGGTGATTTGGTAAAATGCTATGCCCAAGATAACTATCCGAGTGCCGGCGGTGGGGTGGTTCAAATAGCCTCGGCTATCACCTCATTTTGTCCGGTCGTGATGGTCAAGTGGATTAAGGCGTCTTGTACATACCAGATGCGTTGCTTCTGGGAGTATGGGTTCGAGTCACTTCTGGGGTGTGAGTTTTCAGTTGCATATGTCCTGGGGACCATTCAGGCTTGTTCGCATTTGTGTTCCTCACGTGTTGCCCCAAAGAATGAGGTGATTTGGTAAAATGCTATGCCCAAGATAACTATCCGAGTGCCGGCGGTGGGGTGGTTCAAATAGCCTCGGCTATCACCTCATTTTGTCCGGTCGTGATGGTCAAGTGGATTAAGGCGTCTTGTACATACCAGATGCGTTGCTTCTGGGAGTATGGGTTCGAGTCACTTCTGGGGTGTGAGTTTTCAGTTGCATATGTCCTGGGGACCATTCAGGCTTGTTCGCATTTGTGTTCCTCACGTGTTGCCCCAAAGAATGAGGTGATTTGGTAAAATGCTATGCCCAAGATAACTATCCGAGTGCCGGCGGTGGGGTGGTTCAAATAGCCTCGGCTATCACCTCATTTTGTCCGGTCGTGATGGTCAAGTGGATTAAGGCGTCTTGTACATACCAGATGCGTTGCTTCTGGGAGTATGGGTTCGAGTCACTTCTGGGGTGTGAGTTTTCAGTTATATATATAAATATATATATATATATATATATATATATAAATATATATATATATATATATATATATATATATATATATATATATATATATATATATATATATATATATATGTCGTACCTAGTAGCCAGAACGCACTTCTCAGCCTAATATGCAAGGCCAAATTTGCCTAATAAGCCAAGTTTTTATGAATTAATTGTTTTTCGACTACCTAACCTACCTAACCTAACCTAACCTAACTTTTTCGGCTACCTAACCTAACATAACCTTTAAAGATAGGTTAGGTTAGGTTAGGTAGGGTTGGTTAGGTTCGGCCATATATCTACGTCAATTTTAACTCCAATAAAAAAAAATTTACCTCATACATAATGAAATGGGTAGCTTTATCATTTCATAAGAAAAAAAATAGAGAAAATATATTGATTCAGGAAAACTTGGCTTATTAGGCAAATCGGGCCTTGCATAGTAGGCTGAGAAGTGCGTTCTGGCTATTAGGTACGACATATATATATATATGTATTTATTTAAAGATGTTCAAATACAGGTGCAAAACACTCAAGAATCAAGCACCTATGAAAAATTTGAAGTTAAACACATTCTATAGTTACAGAAAAACACAAGAATGAAAAGTGGACATATCATTAAAAATTGCAATGCATTAATTTTTGAAATTGTAAGTGAAAGACACTTTCAAGTAGGAACAACACTTGCTGCATTTGTAGTTCTGCAGGTAATAAAATGAGGAAAGATATGGATGGAGATCCACCCATTGGCATTTGGGATACTAAGAAAGGAAAAATAATGTCAGAGCACATGGTACTTCAACAGTTTAAAAGCAAGAACTATTTCTTACTTTGCGACTTGAAGAGCAGCATTCATGATGTTGTTATGAGGGACTGAAACTACACGAGATGTGTTCTTGCCGTCGGAATCTAAATCATACACCGTAATAGTTCCTTTATCACTCAAGGTATACAAGATATGTCGGCTGTCATCTACTTCCACCTGAAAAAACACGTGCATACAAAATTTATTAATTTAGTTACGATTTTATTCAGTGCAATAATTTTAAAAAAACTCGCCTTGTACACTAGAAACATTTATGAAAATATACCTATAATATTTCAGAAAGAAAACCTCCCAATTTAATCACATGGCAACTTGCCAAGGAATATAAAAAAAACGGTAAGACAGAATGGTACAGGGTTTCATCTCAATTATCCAGAATGATTGGTTTCAGACTCTCCATTATTAAACACACTATGCCTAATGCAAATTACTTAACAAGTCTCCCATATTCCATTAGTCTTACAAAGAACCAGAGTATTGTAATAGCGCAACACTAACCTGATTAATTGGGTCATCCTCGGAAAAGGCCAGGAAGGGTAAAAGGTACGAGATGGCGGATCTCGAGAGGTTTACTTTCTGGCATTTACGGCTGAACCAGCCATCCTCTGCCTGGAATAACCAGGAAAAGCAACATAAGAATGATATAAGTACTGTACTAAATCAACTCTCAGATTGCTATTAATTAATTGTTATATAAGTAATATACCTACATTTTGCTATCAATCATTAAAAGACAGAAGACTTTATAACACAATGCTCTTATATTACATGCTGTGATAATACTTGTTGGGTTCAGGTTGGTCACAGTGGTTCTCTGCACAATACCTGATAAACTAATTCATACAAACATCCATCTTTGGCCCCCATGAAAATGCGGCCATCACTAGTACCACGGATGGTGAGGACATACGAGCCATCGGTTGGCACAGAAAACAAAGGTTCTGGTAAAAGATGCATTCCAGAACTTTCATCAACTGCAAAGTGATACAAATATTATCCAATTAATAAATCAATTATTTAATTTTCAAGAGGAAGAAAATTGAATTATTATTAGCCTAATGGACATCAATTTGAGTATTAATTCATGGTACAGTACTAAGAAATCATGGTATAACAGACCATACCTATTTTATCATTTTTTCTCAAGTTCACATGTTACCTGTACGTACCATCTGTGGACTGCGAGAAGGACACCCCTAATAGAACAATCTCAGAGGTGGTTGTGAGACAAAGGAGATGCTCTATGTATGGTTTGAACACTCCAGCCTTCGGTCTGACAAGACCTACACTTAAAATGGTTTCGTGAAGTCCATCAAAATATGCTAAGTCGCTCCTGAGAAAGAATTTTAGAAACAGAGATTTATATTACAAATATGTTAAAGAGTATGCAAGAATCTAATGAATGCATAAGTATCATGGGTGAGAAAAAAGTGATCCAAGTAAGTAATTATCAAAAGAAGGCACCAAACCGGAAAAGTGCTTCATTAAATTGCATAAAACATTATGGGTATGAAAATAACCGAGATTGGAGTAATGGCTCCAATTGATTTTCTCATTGCTGTATCCCAAGTGTGATTTCTTTCTGTATCTGAAGCTAGAGTATACAGTTGAAGAACTACTTTCCCTACACTAGAGTGCATGGAGGGTTATATGTAAAACTTGGACCAACTTCAGTAGAGGCCTCCAGACTTCCTGTGGACTCAAGTGAAATTCCAGATTGTACAATTTATACCATGTCATGGTACAGAGATATGGTGCACAGCTAGGAGTACCCTCATCACAGGTTTAAGTCACCTCATTACTCCAATTAATTTTTACAGTGCATGAGTTTGCAGCTGTGTGGCATGCCCTGAGGAAGATTAGGCTCCACTCTGCTTCCTGTGGTTCATTGCCTGAACCAAAGAGGGATTTGCTTCAATCCATCACACTGTGGAGCTGGAAGCTTTGAGTAGTTCAGCTCCTAGTTTCCCAGGGAACTGGGGCTTGGTTTTCTGCACAGTTCACATGCAGGGTGTGTCCAACACTATTGCGGATGAGTTACCTCACATCCATACCATTTCTACAGAGTGGACCATCAACGATGCATCCATTGGATCTTTGAGATGCTCGGTTACTCCAAAGTGGATATCTTCAACCTGGTATGAAACCAAAATATGGCAAAATAACTTAAAATCATTGTCATACAGCTACACAATATAAAAAGTATAATTACACAGTACAACTTACCCATCCTCATAAACCCAGACATATATGTCGCTGTCTATAGTTAACCAGGCACGATTGATCTCGGGAAAAAGACCCATCATGCAGTTACACTGCATATCTGAACCAGTGTTAAGGAGAATACCTGCCAAAATACATAATTTTGTACCTAATTAACAAACAGTGAAACTAAACCAGTAGAGATCAACCATGCACATTTTTTGTATTAAAAATACAATAGCCATTCATGAATGTTAAGAACATCCATAATAAAACCACCTACTTTTTGTTTACTATATTGTTTACCAAATGTTGAAAATTAAACCAAATCCATTAACCTGCGCAACATGGTTATCTTGAGATGATTTCGGGGCTTTTTAGTGTCCCCGCGGCCCGGTCCTTGACCAAGCCTCCGCCCCCAAGAAGCAGCCCATGACAGCTGACTAACAACCAGGTACCTATTTTACTGCTAGGTAACAGGGGCATAGGGTTTAAGAAACTCTGCCAATTGTTTCTCTGGGTTGATCTCAGGAACTATGCTTAACCTGCACAACATGGTGGGGACGTTTGAAAGTACCGTGTAAGATTTAAAAGGTACATGGGTACATATATATGGTTACATATACATGTAATACTTAGGGGTACCACCACTGGTGCAATTGTAGAGACCCACAATCTCGAAGAAGAAAATAAAGAGTATTCAGATAAGACCTTGTGGATTCTCACTGAACACTTTAATCTTTTCCTCTCCTACCACCCCCTATTATTTTTTTCATATATACTGTATATATTTTTTTGTTATGTCTATGTTTCATGCTTCACACCTTGGTCAAAATAAGTGACATACTATTTTCTTAAATCCTCAATGTTCCTATTTAGTATTTACTTTTAGTTACAAGTAATTACAATGTATGATATACAAACAAGCATGCAAGGCTTTTCTGAAAATGTTGCCATGATTTTTGTAACTTTGATAGGCTTCTTTCCTGCCTTCCCTTAAAGTGGGAAGCGAGACCCAGGAGCAGCCAGGTACCCCTTCTAGTAGAGTTAAATGATCTTAAATAGGTTCTGCAAGACGTTATCCTTCAAAGAAGGGAGGGGGGGAAGGGTTCCCACAAGAAGCAAGGCATCACAAAAACCAGGTATGATAAAAAGTAGGGAACAGAAGAGATGTTTCCTGCTGGTTCCCGAGGTATACATTTGAAATATTTCATTCTTTAATTAATGATTTTCTCTTGGATACTTAACACAATATATTCAGGGGTTCAACATCTGAAAAAGAATCTTTTCTTTTACAAAAGAGCTCTGGTGACAAAAGGATACGTTGGAAGTGGTGAATGAGCTCTGAAGGTAGAGGCACCTTGCGTGTGGTGTGAAGGTGGCGGGAAGAGCGAGCATCGCTACTGTTGGGGTAATCACTCTCACTCAACCCGCTCACTGTTGCAAAACCTATGAGAAATCGTGTGATTATATTAAAGTTAAATGACATAAATTTTAGCAATATGTACTAAGATATGCACATGTAAAAATTAGTAGTAACAGAAGGTTATTATATACAGTAAAGTCATTAGGTATTTATTATTAAAATAACCAAAACAAATAATTAAAAGTGATTTGATCAAAGCCTATTAAGTGGGGTATTCCCAAGTCGCCATAGTGTATCTTGAAATATGAACGCGTATTCATTATCAAGATATGCCATGTCATCCCTCCAACAAGTTATATAAGCGATTATAATAATGACACCTCAACAGTCACAAAGGTCTGGAGAGAGAGAGAGAGAGAGAGAGGAGCCAGGATAATCATCAAGTGAGCAGCTCCACACAACTGTGTTGGCATGTAGGTGACTGCATCTGGTGGAAGTTGATGCTACCCTCCGGAGGCCAGATTCACGAAGCAGTTACGCAAGTACTTACAAACATGTTACATCTTTCCTCAATCTTTGACGGCTTTGATTACACTTATTAAACAGTTTACAAGCATGAAAACTTCCCAATCAACTGTTGTTATTGTTATAAACAACCTCCTGGTGCTTTGGAGATCATTAACTGTTTAATAATTGTAAGCAAAGCTGCCAAAGATTGAGAAAAGATGTACAGGTTCATAAGGGTTTGTGTAACTGCTTCGTGACTCTGGTCCCAGGAGTAGCATCAACCAAAAGTTAGCCAAGTGCTACTCTGCAGTCTCTCTCAACACCAAAGCTTGCAGTGAGTTTTCAGTGTAGATAAATGAATCTTCTGGATGTCACTTTGGACTGGATATAGCAGCATCCCCACTATCTTTCTTGCCCTATTATACAGTTGATTTTGTCCTGTATACAGTTGATTTTCATCCTTGATAACAACAACAAGTAACAGATTTTGTTTTAAACCCTAGATTCTCAAGATTTGTAGAGCTCTGTAATAAATTTCATGTTCATATTTAAGAACAAATACAGTACTATCAAGTAACCCAGTGAGAGATAATAACAAATCTATAATACTGGTACTCTACTGTATGCAGGATACCACAAGTACAATATACAGATAAGCTTATCATAATATATTTATTAATCAGTACTGAAATACAAAAATGCTGTCATCAATTGCAAGATAAAAACATTAATTCCCAATACACTAATGTGTAGCACAATATTAACCCATAAACAGCACAGCTATTTAAAAGTAGCACATCAAGGTACACATATCAAAACACAGTTAACAAATCCCATGGAAAAAAAATCTTATATGGTAATTAGAGCAGAGGACATCACAGATGGTAATTACAGCAGTGTATGGGATACTAAACTATCTATAATTGAAGAATGTTATCAAATAACAGGTAATCTTCATATAAGAACTTTTAAACTATGTTCTAGTCAACAATAAAACTGTCATAAGTGGGAACTTTTATAATTTATTAGTGCAAAATGTTCACAGAATTGGCATGAAGATCAATAACACACCATAATATTTTAGGCACTAATCACCCCCCTATCCCAAACAACAAAAAATCTTGTTATTTCCTATTTTATAATATACATAACTAAGTTTTACATATTATTAATTACCTTGTGGCGATATTCTGAGCCTATCCAGGAGTGAAGGGAAGCTGGAATCGTAGCCAAGATGCTTATCCACAAGTCGTCCAGCCACTTCCAAGTCCTGAATAGCTCCATCACCACCTCCCTCGCCACTCCCAAAGTTGAGCGTGGTACTCAGTGTGTTCTGCTGCATCTGATCATGTAAACATATTACAAAAACCATCGGATATTAATTTTTTTTTATTATTATTTAATTAAAATGCATTCAATTATAATTCTTTTGCAATGGAAAATATTGTAAACAGGACCAACATATACTCTAAACAAGCCACTTTTTTTTAATTGACTCAGATTTTTCATTATTACAATAGACTTTTTGATCATGACAGATTTTGAATTTTCAAGATGGCACTGTATATTATTAATATAAGTGTTGGCACTTTATTAATACAAGTGTTGATCATCCCACAAAATTCCTCTAAGGCAATGTATTCAGGACATGCAGATCACATATGGGTTTAATCACAAAAATTTACAAAATTTAGTTTTATTCAAATTATATGTCGAGTCCTATAGTGCATGGTCACAGGCAATGGTTCCTCATGTCTTTGCAGTCATTGCCTCTTTTCCATATAGCGTCCTTATTTATGGGTCCCTATCCTTAGTATTAAAAAAAAGTTAACATCCTGTGAGCTCACTCCACTACCCGAGTATGTCCCCCCCTCCTACCCTCTAATAGAGTCATAACCTGTCCACTGCCTAAACTTATGGCCCCTTACATATTGCACAAAGGTTCCCCAGTTTGGGAACCACTGGTCTAAGGTGTCGACTCACAACCGGAAGTCCCAGGTTCAATTCCCAGGCAGGACAGATGGGCATATTTTTTAGACCTGATGCTTCTGTTCACCTAGTAGAAAATAGGTACCCAGGAAATTAGACAATTGTGGTGGGTTACATCCTGGTAAAAGTAATTGGCCAAGGAAGACATCGAAAAGCTAAGGTAATCATCAGGAGAAATCACTAAGCCAGTATGACTATATCACTTAGAAGGAGAATAAGGACCTGGATATGAAAACATTAGAGGAAGGGTGCCCAACCACTTTGACTGGCAGGGATCAAACGCCGACCTGCACGAACCAAGGCCAATGCTATGTCAACTACTGCAAGTTGTTGGACCTCAATATGCCTAACTATATGCCTCTTTTTGCGACAATGGGAACGAACCTATAACTGGGGGGGGTGAACCATATTAAGACCCTGGGGTTGTACCACTAGTTGAATAAAGGATAACCCATTATCTCTGCACTGTTTGGGTAAGAAAGTTTATATTGACCAGAATCCAAAAGTGCAGCACGTCATGGGTCGGGTCCAGCACATGTGCAAGCCTTAGTTTGGGTTCAATTCATGTGTGGACCGTCTGAGTAACAACCTTGCCACTCATGCTCTACTACACTACTGCAGGTAATATTACACACACACACACACACTAATTATATGTCAACCTAGAACACACACACACGAAGCCTTACGTACAGTCGACTGACAAGGCTGAAACTCGTCCCAAGACGACACAAGTAATACTCTCCGTATCGGGCTCCTCAAGTCCTAATTTACAACTTTACGTCATCTCCTTCTGCCCCTTATCCCCAGGCAGCAGGAGGTGTTAAGACCCTTACTCTAGCGTGGTGGAGCAGGAGACGAGGCCCACATCAACTGCTGCAGGACTCTCGCTGGGAATATTTTCAAAGGTTGTTGTGGAGGTCCCGGCGCGCCACCAACACAACCCCGCGTCCGTCTCCTCTGTCTGGCCCTGGCTTCACCCTCCTTCATTGCCCTGTTCCACTCACGTCATTCATAAATGTTTCCTAGTCACACCATGTCACGCGCTTTAAAATAATATATGTTTTTACGTTTTTTAGTGACACGCAGCAGTATAGTGGCTTCAATATTAAATATTTGACATATGTCACACTTCCAAGGGGAAATTGAAACGACATAGGAAATGCCGTTGAGCCAAACTATTTATATTTACAAGGAGATAGCTACTTCCAATTTTATGTTTGCTATATGTGTTTTTTAAATTAGGAAGTGTAATTTATAAACTTTTAAACACTTTTTCTTCCTATTTATAATGAATTTTGTAATAAGAAGAAGGCCGTGGAGGCGTGTGGGATAAGGAGCATCAAGAGAGCCAGAAGAAGGTCCACTATAGAGGATGTGATGGCGGGC